AAAAGATATTAACATACCAATACTTACAGCAGAATTATTTACAACTCAAATGTTCTTTGACAGATAAATGTATGCACAAAATGTACCTACAATAGAATATTATACAGTCTTAAAAATGAATGACCTCCTGATACATACTAACAACATGGGTATATCTGGAATTCTTTATGATAAGGAAAAGAAACTAGACACCAAGAAAATATATTAGGGCTAGAGAGATGGCTCAGAGGTTAAAAACTCATTTACTGGCTGTTCTTCCAGTGGTCCTGAGTTCAATTCCCAGCAACCACATGGTGGCTCATAACCATCTATAATGAGATTCTGAAACCTTCTTCTGGCATACAGGCAGAACATTGTATACATAATAAATAAATAAATCTTTCAAAAGAACATATATTACATCATTCCATTAATATGGCAGAATGGCCAAGATCAAAAACTCAAGGGACAACACATGGTGGAGAGGTTGTGGAGAAAGGGGAACCTTTCTCCACTGCTGGTGGGAATGTAAACTTGTACAACCACTCTGGAAAGCAATCTGGTGCATGCTCAGACAACTAAGAATAGCGCTTCCTCAAGATCCAGCCATACCACTCCTAGGCATATATCCAAAAGAGGCTCAAGTATGCAATAAGGACATTTTCTCAACCATGTTTGTAGCAGCTTTATTTGTAATAGCCAAAAGCTGGAAACAGCCCAGATGCCCTTCAACTGAAGGATGGATGCAGAAATTGTGGTACATCCACACAATGGACTATTACTCAGCAATGAAAAATAAGGAAATCATGAAATTTGCAGGTAAATGGTGGGACCTGGAAAGGATCATCCTGAGCGAGCTGTCCCAGAAGCAGAAAGGCACACACGATATATACTCACTCATATAGACATATAATACAGGATAAACCTACTAAAATCTGTATACCTAAAGAAACTAATCAAGAGGGAGGACCCTGACTAAAATGCTCAATCCCTATCCCGAAAGGCAAAGAGGATGGACATCAGAAGAAGAAAACAGGAAACAAGTTAGGAACTTGCCACAGAGAGCCTCTGAAAGGCTTTGCCCTGCAGACTATCAAAGCAGATGCTGAGACTTAGGGCCAACTTTTGGGCAGAGTGCATGGAATCTTATTAAAGAAGTGGGAAATAGTAAGATCTGGAGAGGACAGGAACTCCACAAGGAGAGCAACAGAACCAGAAAATTTGAACACAGGGGTCTTTCCAGAGACTCATACTTCAACCAAGGACTATTCATGGAGATAACCTAGAACCCCTGCACAGATGTAGCCCATGGCAGTTCAGTGTCCAAGTGGGTTTCATAATAATGGGAAGAGGGACTGCCTCTGACATAATCTGATTGGCCTGCTCTTTGATCACCTACCCCTGAGGGGGGAGCAGCCTTACCAGGCCACAGAAGATGACAATGCAGCCACTCCTGATGAGATCTGATAGACTAAGATCAGAAGGAAGGAGAGGAGGACCTCCCCTATCAGTGGCCTTGGGGAGGGGCATGCATGAAGAAGGGAGAGGGAGTATGGGATTAGGAGGCAAGGAGGGAGGGTTTTATGGGGGGATACAAAATAAATAAAATGTAATTAATAAAAGTTATAAAAAAAACTGTTTATTATTTTTCTGGGGGAAGTGGTCAAGGGACCTAGAATTGAGCTCAGACCATCAGGCTTTTATAAAGTTTACCTGATGAGCCATTTTTCCAACCCTGTCTGAAAACTTTTTTTAAATAATTTTTTAAAACTTTATTTTTATTTTATGTGTATAAGTGTTTTGCCTGCATGTTAAGTGCACAACTTACATACAGTATCTATAGAGGTCAGAAGAGGATGTCGAATCACCTGGAGCTGGAGTTACAAGTGGGATTAAGAGGCTGTGCATGGGGGCTAGGAACTGAACCTAGATCCTCTGCAAGAGCTTTTAATTGCTGAGCCATCTCTCTAACCCTTCTCTCTGAAACCCTTCAAAACAACTTCTGATGCATCCAGCTGCATGGACACATCTCCCAAACATGTTCAACCTAAGAAAGTGGGGCTCAGAAGCCTGTGTATTGTGCTATTTTATGTGAAGTCTAGGATAAAGTAGTGGCTAATTGTGGTAGTATTTAACTGGACCATAGATACTGATTTGCAGCTTGGAAAGATAAAGAGCTTATGCAAATTTATAGTTCTAGTCACTGAACAACACTCAGAATACAGTTAAAAGCCACTGACCTATGTATTGAAAATGGTTACAATTCTGCTGTGTATAGATTATCGCACTTTATAACTAAAACACACACAAATACATTTTTCCATTAAAACCAAATTCTACAGTAGTCAACATGAATATAAATTGCTCAGAAGTGAGTAAAAGTAGCCTATGGGAAGGCCAGGTTTCCTGTTACACTCATGCACACAAAGGAAAAATAGGCCAAGATGTCACTTTACGGTATACATTGTATTTTCTTTGGAAAAATAAAAATTAGCATTGGGAAACTCTGTCATGGCAAAGTTGCATACATGCTGCTGAGTGTAATTTGAGTTTAAAATCCTAGCACTTGGCACTCAAGGAGACCAGGTGAGGGAGCTGGAATCACAAGATAAAGACCAGCCTTGCAAACAGGTTGCAGAGTGAGACCCTCTGCAACAAAATGAAAATAAATAAATAAATAAAAGTGTTTCCTTGCAAGAATTCCTTGATGGGAAAGCTCTTTTGCTGTTAGAGGAAACAGAGAACAAGTCCCTAAGTTGGGGGTGGGGAGTTTAGGGAATCAGAAGACATGCATATGCATGATCCCAATAAAACAATGACACTGCCTGCATTTGAAAGGCTTTATACCTAGCACCAGCCAAGTGGGTGGGGTGAGTCCTGGTAAGTTTTGGGATGCAAGAGGAAACAAGATGGGGAGGGGGAGAACTTCTGAGATTCTGGGTTTGATGTGTAAACAGTGTTGCTTTGTGAGGGTGGGGTCAGCCTTCTGGGCCAGGTCTTTCCACTTCCTTCACTCATCAGTGGAGTTGAGGCTGAGGCTGGGCACTTTGTAATAAAAGCTTCATTCTTTCATTTTCCCTTGGAATCCAGCACCAAGGGCCTGAAGGACAGCAGCTTGGAGCATCAGGCCACAGTACCTATAGTTTGGACACTTTGCAGTCTCTCCCAGAGCAATCTTTTGGTCAGATGGGGGTGAGGTGTAGGTAGGAGGGTTGGAGGCTGGCTCATTGCCATTCTGTAAGCACGTACATAAAGCAAGCATCCATTTCAGACAACCAGGAATTTTGAGTGAGGGTTCAGGGTACAGAGCCTTAAGACCAGCAGTCCTGCTAGGGGACTAGCAGGGAGCTATGTCCACTATAATAACTTGGGGATTGATAGCTAAAATGAGCTCAGCCTGCCAAAGTCTGGATTAGACCAAATAAATGTGCACTATTCTTTATGTCCATTATATATGCATGTGTTAAATGTGCATATCTTTAAAACAAAACTGGTCTGTTGAGATGGATCAGAGTAAATGCACCTACTGCTAAGCCTGTTGACCAGAGTTTGTTTCCTAGTACCCACATATTAGAAGTTGTCTTAAAAAACAAAGTTGTCCTCTGATATCCACATGTACACAGTGGTACACACAAGTCACACACATACACACACACACACACACACACACACACACACACACACACACAGAGTAAATAAAATGTTAAACCCTCTATGACTAGCAAAGGTTTTGCATAAAATAAAATTTACTGATATGTGTGTGTAATACATGCATATTACATATATATGTCTATTACATATATAGTGATGTCCTACTATATATTTGAAAATTTGAACACTTTTTTGTTCTAAGACACCCTTTTGAGACTGTGCTCCAGGGATAGGGTGAGTTACCCAGTAATTGGAGTCCTGTCACCCATCTCCCACTCCCCTCTCTCCTTCCACATAAGCTCTTTTGCTTGGTCCCATAGCTCTATAGGGCTGTGGCATGATTGAGGGCTAGTTTTATTCCTTCCACAGGAAAACAATAGTACTCCACAAGAAAACTGCAACATCCTTGTACCTCCCTATTCCCACCTCCTCCAGTGTGTCCCCCAACCATGTATTCCCAATGTTTGCTAATTAAAATTACTGAGTGGTTCCAAGATGCAGCAAAGACGAAATTTTCAGCCAAATCTTCTTGTACTTCCAGGCCAACACTTGCCCACCTTGACCCTCCACCCTTCTCTCCCTAACTAACAGAAGGAAGAAGTCACATTCTAGAGCCACAAAACTACTTTTATTTAATTGATACCACAAATACAGAATAGGATTAAGGCAGTATGATACATTTCGGGTTTTCTTTACAAGCTTTTGTACAGTAAACTTTGATTAAAGTCTCAATTTGAATCAGCAATTGAAATTTCATTTAAATGTCAGTTTGTTCTTGAGTTGTAAAGGAAAAATCACTTTCTGGGCTGACATGAGACTAACTGCTTCACATCATGTCACTGAACCAAGCATGATTGGACTTACTGGTCCTAGCATCTCTTCCTCCTTATCTCCTATCCCCAAGCCAGAAGGGTCACAAAAACAAGGCTTTTTAAAAAAAATTCCATTTCCTTCTAGCCATCAGATGTTACTTCAAATTCCCTTTGATTGAAAAGAAAAATGTAAAAATTGATAGTGTAAAAGAGTGACTATGAATTATAATATTACAAACATAACTATAATTGACACTCAGGGTTATCAACCACAAGAAATTACTTGCACATGGATCTATTTCTGTGGAAATAAAAGAATGTTCTGGACAGTGCTTGAAAAAGTCAAACCAATATAACCAAAAATATATATAACCAAAAATAGGGTAAAAATATCTCATCATTTGCAAACAAATATACAAAAAAAGAGCACCAATGTTTAAATTTACACAAAATAAAATCAACATAGTATGACATATCACTCTTTTTGGCACTTGATCTGAAAGGAATTAAAGTGTACTTTAATAAGAACTTATCTAATTCTATTTTTCAGATAGGGTTCATATTTTGTCATGGAAATCTTGAAAAGCTAATTTCAAGTGTTTGTACTTCATCAGAAGTCCTTTTCTGACTGCATTAAAGATACAACACAGTTTACACACTTACAACAATAAGCTGTGTGGTCACTGTCACTTTACAGAGCTGACCACCAAGACAACCTTGACCAGTGCGCATGCACTCCTCCCCCATTTCTGGGAATGGGAGAAGAAAGCAGGAGGCAGGAAATCGGGAATGGGGGCTGGGAAGCTGAAAGAGTTGGTGGGGAATATCAAAGCAACAGACATTTCAGAGATCACTGAGGGTTGAAATTCAACCTTAGAAGAACAGGAGATTTAGGATCTCAGAACCGTAGACATCACAATTGGAAATTTGATCTCTAAGAAAGCAAGAATACACACACACTTTCAAGAGCACAGGGTGCCAAAGAAGAGTATGCCTGAAAGGTAGATGGAACTTCCACTGTGTCTGGGGGTCTGGGTCTCCGTGTGTCAGTGTGTACATACAAGGGAGGTATCTCACACTAGACTGCATAAGCAGGACAAACTCAAAAGAACACTTTTCACACAGCCATCTCATCAGAACAATCGGAATCATCAGAATCGTCATCAATAAGTACCACCTTGCGGTAATCATCAGCGGCAATGGGGATTAGAGTGCGGTCAGGAGGGGTGGCAGAGGTGACAGCAGGCTCACAGGATACAGTGGGGAGTTTGAAGGCAGTAATGTCAGGTCTGAGGTGGCCAATGGTGGTCATTTCAAGGCAATGGGAGGTTGAGATCTCAGGGAGGTCAACAGCAGTGAGCACAGAACGGCTGGTGGAGGCAGGCTCAAGATAGTCAACAGTGGTAGCTGCAGGGTGGCTGGTAGCAGGTTTAACGTAGCCAGATGAGGATGTAGGGTGGCTGGTGGAAGAACCAGCAGAGATACGGTGACTGGTGACAAGTTTGGAAGCAGCCCTGAAATGGACAGAGTCTCCCTTGAAATAGACAGAGTCTCTCTTGAAATGGACAGAAGTGGGATTGAAATGAACAGAGGTAGGCTTGAAATGGACAGAGGAGGCTGGCTTAGGGTAGACAGAGGCAGACTTGGGGTGGCCAGAAACGGACTTGTGATGGATAGAGGCAGGTTTGCGATAGATAGGAGTAGACCTGGTTTGGGGGTTGGGGTGGGTAGAGGCATGATCAGAGTGGGATGCTGCTGTACTACCCGGCAGTAGAGCATTCTGGATGCTCCACGGGGTTCCCTCCACAGGCAGACAGGCACGAGCACGCTCTTGTTCTCGGGCTTGATCACGGGCACGCACACGGGCATGAGTGAGAGCTCGAGTCTCCCGAGTCTCCCGAAAATCAGAGATGAGGTGGGAGATGAACAGGATAGGGTGCTGCATAGCATGGAACATGGTCCAGTATTCTCGTCGGAAACTCTCATTGAGGATACCATAGACGACAGCATTGAGGCAGCTGTTGAAGTAGGCTATGCAGTGTGCTGCAAGATAAAGCCAGTTGGGGATCTTGTCTACCATCTCTTTTGGAGCAACAGCCACGAACACAGTGAGCACATTGATAGGGCACCAGCACACTGCAAAAAGGAGGAAGATCACAAACATGGTTAGAAAATTTCGAACCTCAGCAAACTGGTTATCAGGATTCTGCCCAGCTGGGTCACGGGCAGCCAGCACTTTCATCCAGATTTTGGTGTAGCAATAACCGACTATGATGAGAGGGAGGACGAAGTGGATGCAGACAATGGTCACAGGGAAGGCGGGGTTGTTCACATATTTGAAGATACAGGTGTAGGTGCGAGGGTCATACTCAACGTCGCCAATGTACATGTTAGGCAGAACAGCCAGGACAGTCATGACCCAGGTAATGACCAGGTAGATCCAAGTATTGCGTAGGCTGAAGATTCGCTTGTATTGGAGGCTGTGGCAGATATAGCAGAAACGATTGATGGCAATGGCCGTAATGTTGAAGATGGAACCGACTACACTCAGTCCTGTGATCAACCCGATGATCTGGCACTGGAGCGGACTCAGATCCCAGCCCCCAACTGACATGCAATACAGCATCAGAGGATAGGGGTAGATGGCCACCAGCATGTCTGCCACAGAGAGGCTGACCACAAAGATGTTGCCTGGAAAACATCAGGGGAAGGAAAAGAAGGCGAGAGACAGGAATCAATGGTTAATATTTGGAAAGCCACCTCCCAAAAAAACGGATGAAAAAGTCAACTGGGTAGGTGACAATTTAGAATTCTAGAATTCTTTTGAAGAGTCACAGTTTTCTTTCTTTCCTATTTACAAGCAAGCCCAAGGTAGCTCTGATGCACAACAAGTTTGGAACACGAATGCTTGGCCAACGTTTTGCTTGTTTGCTTGGTGTGTTTTGTTGGTTGGTTGGTTGGTTGGTTTGCTCTGAGAAAGAAGTAAGCAAGCACAAGGGGAGGGGGCAGAGTCCTGCTGACGCCATTTTAGAGAAATACAACTGCGCCACATTTTCCACACGGGAATAAGTGGGGGAGGGAGAGTGAGAGAAAGGAGAGCCAGATGTCCAGAAACACAATCAACCTAAAATTAACAATGATAATAATAATGCACTAATCCTCTTCCTTATGAAGGAAAATCTACTAACCAGACACCATCCTGAGATAAAACAGTAATATCCATCAGCCTAGTGAAATACTTAGCACTCCTCAGGTACTTTCAGAGTAAAACCTAAGAAGAGGGGGGAAGTCCTGTAATATCAAGTCTGAGGTCAAAGAAAGTGACCAGGGGAAAGGAGAAATCCCTTCAACTGTGCATTCCACCTCTGGCCATGCACAAAACATCTTGCACAGGTTCCAAAAACAGCTGTGAGTAAAACCTGCCTCCTGCCCTGCCCCATTCAAAGGACAGTAGCAACCTTTTTTTTCTTTTTCTTTTTGTAACACCCTTCACAAAAAACAGACTAAAGAGGCCAAGTTCAGGCACGGGGTCCTCTTTCTTTGCAAACACCTAGTTCCTAATTAGCTTTGGTTTGGCAAAACACTGCACTTTGTCCTGGAATGGGAGAAAATGAGGGCTTTTTAAAAGGGTACCAAGACTTGCCCTCCGTGCTTTTTGCCAAAAGAGATTCTTTCTAGAGTTTCCCCTCAAAGTAATGAACTTCCTAAAGAAAAATAGGAAAAATAAACCCACAAAATAAAAAGCCTTAAAAAATAAACCCACAACACACACACACTTTTATTTGCAATTCAGAAGAAAAAAGAAAAAAGAGGAAACGAGAGAAAAAAAACAAAAGAGTGAGTTTCCAAGGTAATTTCCCATGCTCCATGGATCTGTTCTTAGGTACCATATGAAGAGTGAAAGGTAAAACCTAAGGCTCTGCCTCAGGGTTATAGGTTACAAAGAAATCAGAAGCACTCACTGGAGTTTGAAAGAAAAATTCTAACGATTCCAGTCTGTTACTAAATTTTGAAACTTGTCCCCACCAAGCAATTCGCTAAGACACGGCCAGGCTCATTCCCCAGCTTCAGTCCACTGGGGTCTACATGGTTTTCAACCTTCCCGAATCAGTAGTCCCTCCCAAGACACTGAGATCTTGGGGAAAAAGACCCAGGGTACCACCATTATCCTACCCTCTCCCAGGAGTTGGGGACTATTTCACCCTGCCTCCCCATCCTTCTCTGCCCATCCTGAAAACCAGACTCCTAGTTTTCCACTCTTCTACACCCACTCCCCTTCCCCTATTCCCCCACACCCTCACCCACACAAGGGTCTCAGTGCCTAGCACCTTCCAGCTCTCCCTGTCTCCGATCCCTACCCTCCACCCCGGGCTGGAGGCTTGGGGAGTGCAGCTCGCGGTTTCCAAATCCCAGTGCTGCGCAATCAGAGCCCCTTACTGCTCCTGGAGCTCTCACGCAGTCCTCCCGCCATTCCTACCTGGCTCTGCCTCCTCATTCTACCCTCTCGCCGCTGTGCCCAGCTCTTGCTCCCCTCTGTAGCCCCTCTTTGTGACTCCCCCGTACAGACCTCCTGATGTCCGCTGCCACCGCTTTCTCTGCCACTGCCTACAGCGTCCAGCCCGCCGCTAGCCAGTTCCAGCCTTTTGTCCTGGGACAGGCGGATGGAGCTCGGCTCCAGTGGGCTCAGTGTTCCCTGCTAGATACTCAGGCGTGGGGCTTGCGCTCCGCCGCCGCGGCCGCCGCCGCCGCCGCCGCCGCCGCCGGGGAGCGATCCCGGAGCTCTGGCGCTGCCGCGAGCGGAGTCTCCGCTGCCGCCGTTGGGGGGTGGCCGCAGCGTTGCTCGCCCGGGTGCATCGCGGCAGCCTCTGCAGCCGCCACGAACTTAACTTCCCAAAGAGGTTCGGAACCACGCGGCTCTCTCTGAAACAGTCCCGCGGCCAGCGCCTCTGTGTGAGGGCCGCCCTCCGGAGTCCAGTTCAGCCGATTGTACCTGGGAGGCAACTAAACTCCCAGCTTGTGTACGGACTCCCTCCATGTCCGGTCTCCTACAGGACTGGAGTCAAGGGACTGCCGCGCACCCTACATACCTGGGCTTTGCATTTGGCTGCCCCATAGTAATTTTCTGGGCTCCCCCAGCACTGTGGAGCTCAAAGTTTAGGGGAACCTGGCAGAACGTCACCCTCACCGACCCCGAGGGTTGGGAGGAATTTAGGAGAGAGGATTGCACACTTGCTCTTCACTGGGTAGGGGAAAGAAAGGTGGCTTACCAGAATTTCGGAGCTTCTTGTTCTTGGTCACAGCCAAAATGACCATGGAGTTGCCTATCAGGTCTGCCACAACGGTGATGACCATTGTGCAGAACACGAAGGTGGTTAGTGCTGGTGGGTAGTCGGGCTTCGGCAATTTACAGCCAATGCAACCAAATGGGGTAGGAACAGCCTTGGTAGGTCCCATGTTGCTCCTAGGGACCGTGGCCATCCCTCCTAGGCAACCTCAGGATCCTCGGTGAGTCAGAACAGCGAATACCTGCTCAGTCTCCAGGAGCTCCGGGAGCTCCGGGAAAGCGTGGCGCACTCTGTGAAGCTCAGAGAGCAAATGACAGCTCCCCGCCCCTCTTTGGTGAGCTTTTAAAGCCTCAAGAGGTCGCTAGCCACACCCCTAGCCCCTCCCCATAACCAATCAGAGCTCTTTGACCACCCCCACCCCTTGTCACCACCTTGCTTTGGACAAATCCAAAGGACTGTGTCGTCTTGCTTCCGACTGCCTTGTTTGTGCTCCCGGTCCTCTCTAGCCAGCCTCCTCCCTCTGAATTGAATCCCGCGGGTATCTTGCTTCGTGACTAGCTCAGAATTGCTAAGCATCCATTTCAAGCCAAGTTCCTTTTCTCCCTCCAACAGAAATACCTGTAAAAGGGATGTAGCTTGCAGAGTGGGCTCATGAAATGCTTCTCAGGGGTCTAGAGGCTACCCTGAATAAGTCTGCATCCTCCACCATCGTTTAGGAGACAATCAGTGATACTTTAAGCCCCCCTCCCATATCTTGTCTCTACAAACTCCTTTACAGGTTCCCACTCCCCATGCACTCTAGCCTGTCCATAGTTTTCTATACCTGGTGAGGAATGCAGGACAAGTGCTCTTGGCTCACAGAGAAAGTCGGGGTCCTTACACTCTAGGGAATTCACCCCACTCCGGGTCGGGTCCTGCCAGGAGCTGGTCTGCGCCTTTAGCTGCTGCAGAATATAAGCTCCTAGTCCTTTTAGTACTTGAACTCTCGTTGGGGAAATGTACTCTGTGCTTTACTCTTGAAGCCAAGACTAAGTCAGCACCCCTCAATGGGAAGAGCAGACAGTGGCCTTTGGGACCCCAGCTTTAAGACTGTCAGGAACTGGACCTTTTATCCTCCCAGTTACCCACACCCTGGCGACGGAATTTAGCTTTGGGTAAACCTAAAAGGGTCAAGTCAGTCTCTTGGACAGAAGAGAGAGAAGCCACCCAGGGAGAACTGTCAGGTTTCTTTGCCCTTCTTAGCGCTTTGTGGTATCGGGTGGTATCTGACGACCGACCGGCAGCACTGTTAGCCCAAACCTGTTGCAGAGGAGCTCAGCCTGTCTCAAAGAAGCTGCAGCTTCACCCGCCCAAAGCACATTATTTGCTGAACCCTCCGTTTTTTCCATTCCTAGCCAGGGACTTTTATCGCTGCACTTTCATACTGCCGGTCTCCCTCAGGATCGGTCCAGGCTCCCACCGTGCCTTGAGACTATGAAGCGCAAACGAAGGGGACAGGAATGTGGAAGTTCAGACACTGGGGCGCGTTTCGGGCACTGGATGGCTCCAAAAAACATGGCCAAGAAAATGGATTTCAGCTGAATATTAAAAGTTATTGATCATGTTTCGTAGCCTTGAAAAAAAAAACTGAAATGACACCTGGAACTCGCTCTGCAGACCAGCCTTCTGACCTCCGCGGGGCTGATGGATTGTACTAGTCCTGATTGCAGCCTCCTGAACATCGCAAACCCCTACTCCGGGGTGGGTGGAGGTCACAGGGATCGGCTGGGGCAAGTTTCACAGCAGACTTTAACACATTTAAAAAAACATTCAGCGGAGACGTAAACACTGCTGGTAACTAAATTCTCACACTTTGTCTTGTTCAAAAATGCGCACCAGACTTCAACATATTTAAAAAAACATTCAACGGAGACATAAACACCGCTGGTAACTAAATTCTCACTTTGTTTAGTTCAAATGCGCAAAGAAAAGTATGCATCCCCTAGCTATAAGAAAAGTCCCCACGCCCACCCTCACCCACTGCTGGAAAAGGCGCGAATCACCCCCTCCTGCCAGGAGCTTTTTCACATTTCATTGTCTCTTTTCAGCTGCAGTCCTCGCCGGCGCGCTCTTGCACTGCCAGACTCAGCCAGGCTTTTCCATAAGGGAACTGCAGCCTAAGAGTCGGCTTGCTGTACTTGGTAACCTACTGTGCACCTGGACAAGAAGCTAACGACTCAAAGCCTGTCTGCTTCATAGACCATGTAGGATCAACGTTAGACTCAAGGTAACATATGATTCTGCGAGAATTCAGAGCCTTTCACTTGCGGGATCAGGAACGGTTTCGAATTCAATAAACGTAAAATAATGGAAGATAAATGGAAAGCAGCTCTCTGGGGTCTGCAGACACTACTCTTACCCTTCTGGGAGGTTGGAGCAGACTATGGGGTGGTTAAAATCCTGCGTATGGTTTATGGAGCTGAAGGAGCTGGCAGAGCCCCTGCATTTGAAGCTAGCCTTGAAAATGGGCTGGAATTCGGGGTGGAGAGGCAGAGTGAGCAAAAGCTCCGGCCCCTGGCCCCTGTTTGGACAATATATTTGACCATGACTTCCTGGGACTTTGATTTTTAACACCAAAAGACAAATATTTTAATAATAGCTGGAGAAAGAATTCTGTTTCTACTTGAATTAATTATTGTTTTCATGAACTAGTTTGATACAGACTCAGAACACCACGTCAATATTAAGAAAAAGAAATGGATATTAAAGCTGTCATGTGAGCACATGAGGGAGAGGATGGAGCTTGTTTGCAGGAGTAAGTGGGACAGATCTAATGTTCAATAAATATGATGGGTTCAGAACATTAAATTGTGACTCCTTTGTGGGTACAGTACAGAGTGTATGGTTTTAGGATCTAAAGGCACATTTAAATGTGGGCAAAGCCTGTTTAGAAGTCGTTATACTTTGGGGTAGACCAAAACACTGAGACCTGAAAACTATTAACATATAGAATTCCAAAGGAAAGAAGCCTCCAAGGTTCACTGTAATAAATGCCCTGATGGTGGTTAGTTAACTTGTTTGCTTGCTTGTATTAGGACTAGTGAACCCAGAACTTCTAGCATGCTGGGCAAGCTATTGCCCTTGAGCTATATTTCCAGCCCATGAATGCAGTTGTTTTTTGTTTGTTTGTTTTTACATAAGCATTTTATAATTTTATAGTGCCCATTGACGATGTATTTTCTCCCAACAACACTATTAAACAGATGGTGAAAATAATATTTAGAGGGATGAAAGGACTTGCCCAAAGCTGGTAGAGAAGCCTAGGCTAAGATTTAGGCTCTGTCCATGCTCAGTCCAGAGGCTTACTCCCAAGTGAAGAAGTGTTCAAGTGCCCAAGGATTTGATAAAGGAAATGCTGTATTCTTGCCTTTATTATTTTACTTTTTGTTTACAGAAATAGAATTCATATACTATAATACTCATATTCACACACACTGTTTTTCCTTTCTTTCTTTTTCTTTTCTTTTTTTTTTTTTTTTTTGAGGTAAGGTTCTACTACATAGCCCAGTCTAACCTCAAACTCACTATCCTCCTGCCTGAGACCCTTGAGTGCTAGGATTACAAGCATATACTCATAATTGGATTTCTCAGTTCACCCCCATCTCTCTCTCACACATATTTTCAAAGCTGTATAAGCATTATCACTACAAGATTTCATGCCTCACCCCCTTCATCTCATTCTCCACCTCCTAGAAATCACCAACATTCCTGTCTTTATGGATGTCCATCTAAGCATTTCACAAACACAGAATCACACAATATTTGTCTTTTCTGTCTGGCTTCTTTTCCTAACACAATGCTTTGTGATCCATCAATGAAGAAGCATGAATCAAGACTCCACTCTTTTTTATTTTTAATTTTAATTTTTTTGTTGCTGACCTACACTCCAATGATGGACACTTAACTTCTTTCCACTTTTCTACCACCACATCAAGAATTTCTAGGAAACTCTAGATTCTCTTTAGCCCAGTGTTTCACAACCTGTGGGTTGTGACCCCATTGGGAATTGCATATCAGATATCCTGCATATAACATATTTACGTTAAGATTTATAACCAGCAAAATACAGTTATGAAGTAGCAATGAAAATAACTTTATGATTGGGAGTCACTACAGCAAGAGGACTATATTAAAGGGTCACAGCTAAGGAAGGTTGAAAACCATTGCTTTAGTCCCAAGATATTCTAGGATAAAACAGATAAGCAAACAGCTTCTTAGTCTCATTGTCACTATCCTCAATGTTTGCAAAAGGCCATCTTGAGCATTCCAACCTCTTCTGGGCAATGCACTCAGAAATTTCCAAATCGTTTGCAAAGGGCTTGTAATACCATTGGATCTAATGCAAAACTGGCAAATGACAATTTGGTGCAATTCTAGTAATGATCTAAATGTCTTTCAGTCTGAGCACAAACAGGGCACTCTCTATTTGTCTCCACACCATTGAGACATCTACCTCCTTATTAGGAAGACATATAGAAACCCACTAAGGACCTGGGTGGGCCTCATCTTAGCACCAAGGAGATAACTGATGGATGGGAGCTCTATTTCACTTGATTCTCAAAAGGAAAAGTAAATTTGAGATTTGAGGTGTTCTCAGTGGTAGAGTGCTTGATTAACTTGGATAATGCCTCTTCCCTTTAGTGTGTAAGTTCATGCAGGTGTGACCCAGGGGGCACTCTCCAGCATCCCAGCTACTATGCATGTATGAGATAGACATGATATTAAAGAGGATAGTTATCACTATCCTTCTCACCACCTGAGAAGCTTTCCTGGTGTGGTTTCTGTCTTTTCCACATGTTTCTTACCATCATTCAGAAAGAGAACACACAGGGTCATTAGCCTATAGATGGTCACACCCACAGTCCACAGATGACCAATAAGCTCAGACAGGAGAAGCTGGCCATGGAGCCTGTTGGGCTTGTGGGGCTTGTGGGGCCTGGCCCAATCTAAGGAAGCTCTGTTTCAGGGAAACGTTTGGCTACCACTACATGGCTAAGGCTGAAGCTTCAAAAGAACTGAACATTGATTTAATAAAAAATCAAGTCCCTAGACCTCAGAACCAGCAAGATCAAGACATTAACCACCTCAAGAGCAGTTTGGGACAGGTTCTGGGTGAGCTATTTTATAATCAGAAAATGTCTGGTCACATTTACA